CCCGCACAAACCTAAAGCTATAGACATTCTCCAGGATTATCTAAGAGACCCTCCTACGACTCCTTCAAAATTTCATAGGAAGGATTAGGATAGTGAAAGCTTTCAATCCAACGGTGAAAATCCATTGGATTGAAAGTTTTCTTCGCACTTAACCGGACTACCTAGCTAGGGAGATCGGGAAAGGATTCTCAACATGTAAATAACCCTAAGAATTGGTTTTTTTATGGAGAAGCTTTAGGGAGAGATGAAGAACACTTCTCCTTTAGACATCTCGATCGGAGGATCACCTGAGGTAGAAGTTCGAGTGGAGAGTGAAGAGTTTTCATCAGAGTTCACTCTGGATGATGGCTGTGGAAGGCTAGGAAGTTGTGGAACACTATAGGACTACTCAGAGGGCTCTAGGGATCAATTTCAAAACACTGGGAATGAATGGGGATGTCTATGTGAGGGAGCCCTTTTCAAATGACCCCGTGGCCATGACTAGGATTGACTGGGTAGGCCATTGGATGTCCATAAAGTAGAAGGAGACATCATGGGGAGTAATTTTGAGCTCAAAGGAGTCAAACTCGGGCATTGGGGAAGCTTCAACAAGAGCTCAAGAAGGGGGGCCACTAAAGATTATTCTCCATTCAATCCGGCCATCGCAAGCCTCTGGTTGGGTCAAGCAAAGTTGGAAAGGATATTAGAGATCAGGCGAGCCCAACCAGGGGCTCAATTGGGCTGGAGGTAGCCCAATTCAATAATGGGGCTCGGGTTAACCCAAAAAAGCATGGTTTAGGTCAACCTAGGTCAAGCCTAGGTTGAGTGAGGGGCTGGGTTTTGTAGGGAAAGTATGTTGAGTCTGGGGCATCCAATGCAAGTGGAAATTTAGCTTGAAGTGGATTGTAAAAGAAATAGGCTCAGGTGAAAGTGGTTTTGACCATTTTGGTATGGCCTAAGGATTGACCCAAGTCAGCCCAAGGGTTAGGTTGACTATGATAGGTGTGAGACCTATGGCCACCCAATGAAAGTGTTGATTGAGCTTGGAGAGGCATAAGTTGGGAAATGGCTCAACCCTTAGTGGTTTTGACCACTTTGAGCTAGCCCAATTCCCAACCTAAGTTGACCCAAGCTAGGGCTGGGTTAACTAGGGAAGGTGCATGGGGTTATGGGGAACCTAATAACACCATTGGTTTGATCCAATTTGTCTTAGAGTGGAGTTTGGATCAAGAAAGACCTCTCTTTGGGCACTTGGGTCAAGCCAAATGGCTAACCCAAGTGATCCCAAAGCCTTGGGATCTCAAGGAAGTTTTCTTAGAGACCTAATGGGGTTTGAAAAATCCTTGGTTAAGGGGTTTGAAAAGGCTAAAAGTATATCGAAGGTTTTGTCAAACTTGGTTGACTTGGTCAACCAAGTTGACCTAGGATCAAGGGTTGGATCCATTGAGTTTTATTTGATCGTATGAACTAAATGAAAATGGTTTCAAGTCAAGAGGAATTCATTTGGTTTGAAATGGGTGTTTAAATCCTTAAGGGGCACTTTGGTCAGCCATGGTTCACTAGATCAACTAGGTCAAACCATAGGATGGGTTTGGGTTCAATGTATCCCTAATGACATTTAAGATTCATTTGAATAGGTTTTTGAGGTTTCATATGGCTAAGCCATATTTAATTTTGGGAAAAAGACCAAAAATCCATTTAAAGGGTATTTTGGTCATTTTGACCCCTTGTCAACTCTAGGCCAAATTGAGTCCAACAAAGTGCATATTACTGGTTGACTGGATCAACTTGGTCAAACCATAGGATGGGTTTGGGTTCAATGTATCCCTAATGACATTTAAGTTTCATTTGAATAGGTTGTTGAGGTTTAATATGGCTAGGCCATATTGAATTTTGGGAAAAATATCAAAAATCCACTTAAAGGTATTTTGGTCATTTTGACCCCTGGTCAACTCTAGGACAAATTGAGTCCAACAAAGTGCATATTACTGGTCAACATGCCATATTAGATTCCATGGATGTGGTTAGAGTCTTTGGGGAAAGTCCCAAGGTCAAATTCCACTGGATGGTAAGTCAGTGGTATAGGTTGTAAATATGTAAAGGTTTTACATCCTTTAAAAATCAATTCATTTTCTAGGACTAGGAGCCTCAGATTGAGTTCAAATTTTGTAGGTTGATCTTAGATACATATCTAAATAATATGCGATTGATAGACCCTAAATCAGATATCATTTGATTGGATTTCAATATGGAAGAAAAATCATCCATAAAGGGTTTCAAGACCCAGGTCTTTAACCCTGGAATTTTGTGGAGTGTTAAATTTGGATTGGATTTTTGACTTTAATGGATGAGTTTTAAGTATCCACATTAATAAAAATCAAATAAATGATTGAGATTGATTGAATATGACTTGAAGGTTGATTGCAAGTTGATTGAAAATAGGACTGGAGATTGAATTTAAAAGTAGAATTGGACTTAGTCAGGATTAGATCAGATTTTGACTGTGACCTATATGATTGGCAAGTGGATACCTGTCAATCATTGGGTCACCAGATAGATCCTAGTGACCTCATATACAAATGAGGTCAACATAAAAATATTAAATAAGGCTTATCTTGTCTCAATTATAAGATTTATCATATCTTGTGTGAAGGTAATATGTGTGTTGATGCTCTTGCTAAAATTGGTTGTACTAATCTCTAGTTCATTGTATTTAAAGAAGTTCAGATCCCTATAACTATTAAAGGTTTGGTGGTCTTGGATTGTACTGGTTTACCTTATATTAAATCACATTAATGTGGGGTTTCTCTTTGCGCCTGCTTTGGTGTTTTTTGAATTTGGTGGCTATTTTTTTAGTGACCTGCATGGTTTTTTATTCATGGTATGGAGAGATTGGAGAGGGGTCTCTTGTGCTCATCGGCTCTTGCTACTAGTTTCCCACTTTGTTCATGAAATGCTTATATTTGCGTGGGTTATGGTTATTCTGGTATCATTTATTTAGATTATCCTATAATTTATATACTTACAACTTTGTTCTGATGCTTATGCTATATGGAATGCTTCTTGGTTTTTATCCCCTACAGTTATTCTATAACTAGACCACTTATTTAAGTTGTCGGTCCATTGTGTTTTATATTATGGATGGCTTTTCTACAGGTTTTATTTAGTGTGGCTTTGTA